TTCCGATCTCCCCAAAACCCCAAAACCCCAAAACCCCTTGCTATCTATAAACTCTAAGTGAATAAATGAACTGAAATTAGAGAGTTAATTTTTCCACTCACTTAATTTAAAGTATTTTATAATAAATAAAATTAAAGTCTAAAATCTGAGAGATCCATTAGATTTATTTGTGCTCATTTTAATGCTATTCTTCATTTAAGTTGTGAAATATTTGATCTGGTTTTACTTAAAGAACTTTTCAAATTACTTCTATCGTTTTGTGACTTTAATTTAAATAGAGTCTTAGGGTCAATATATGTAGTCTCTCGCTGTTAATCTTAAATCTTTGATGAGCCTGATTCAATAATCTGGTCAATCGGGAAAGCAGCTTGGTGTTTTTCTTGATCATCGATTACTATAGAATTAGATCTTGATCCTCCTTAACTTATGCTTGCACTCATTTTAGGATGATAATTTTCCATCAATCTCTTTATTGATTTGACAGGTCTATTCTTAATAAGTGCATCTGGGTCAAAAGTTCTATGTTTGAAGTTTTCTAAAGTTTATTTAAGATTGTACTGAATCTCTTCCTCTTATTTTTCTCTCTCTTTAAACTGTTTCATCTTGACAATCTATTTTTCTCTTCTTAGTATATTCGCATTATTATCCAAGAAATTCTTAAAAACTGGCTTGCAACTCTACAATCTTTAGTTGAGGTAAATCTCTCTATCATCTACTTGTCTTTATATCACATACTCATTCATGTATTAATTCTTCAGCAAACTATCTATAACACCATCAACCACCTATGCTTTTCTTTATGAGAAAAAGCCAGGATGACCTGAATCCATTGAATTATTATCAAAATCGCTCTTTTTACTTGAAGATTAGAAAGTGCCTTGTTTAATGTTCGATAGAGGCGTTTAATTCTGTCTTTGCCTGTTCATTATAATCGAAGAATTATTTCCATCTATGATTGATAATGCCCTCTTTGGTTGCCTTTGATTAAGCATCTTTAATTTCTTTTAGTTGAGCTGTAAGTTATTTTTCCTCATTTTGAAAAAGTAAGGATAGTCCATAATCTCATCATTAGTCAATGGCAACTTGATAAATGTCTTATCATCTTGAGGTTGCTGCTAATTATCCTAACTAATTCTAAACATATCATTAACTTAGCTGCTTAGAGCCATATAATCTGAGACTTTTGCATCTCCATATAGCATAGAAAATTCCTGTTCATCAATTTGATTGTCTTATTTCTGATAATGATTTATGAAGATATAAGTATTCTTACTGTGTCTACTTTTTAAAATAAGAGTTAGCAGTCATTAATGGAAAAGTCAAGATTGAAATACTTGAGGCAAAAGTAAAAAGGTTCAATTCTAATGAATTCATTTTACTGTAAATTAAAGAACCTGAACGCATCATAAGAACTGTTGAATGCTCTTCTAAGCTTTCCTTAAACTTACTCGAAAAACTAATCAATGTTAATTGTTTGAACAGGTCTCCAATTAAAACAATTATTTGTAGTGAATGCCTGCATCCCTTGTGTGTAAATTATCTTTCCTTCCTCATTCCTATAATAATTTTATCTTAATAACTTTAAGGTATTACTTCTGCCTATAAAACTGCTATGCATAGAGTAGGACCAACTTATTTAGCTGGCCTAAGTTTATCAAGTTAGGACCAGAAACATTCTACTGTAAGAGCATAAATATATCTTTTTCATCGTTGATGTTTGTTTTGATACCCAATCTTTTGTAAATCATTTTAAATGTGTTAGACTAAATTTCATTTGTCATTTACTTATCTTCCCTAAACATTTCGAATCGAACCCTATTAAATTTCTATGGATTAACCTGATACTTTTTAATAATATTTAGCACTTTTTACAGATAGTGATGCTCATCAAAATGAGATGATTAGCTATTATTAGATGCCATTTTATTCAAATTGCTAACATCTAATGCTCTGGGAATCACTCCTCTTTAATTAGAAAAATACTTTTGACTGTTTACATCCACTGCTTCTATTCTGTAATTTTTTCTTTTTTATCGATCATGTACAGTACTAGATCTTTATTGTACTTCAGATATGCCAGGTTTTTCATCATTAAAACCTTTATATCCATCTATCAATTTGATTTTGTCATTAGTAAACTCTCTCTAGCTTTAAAACTATTCTTGCAACTGTATAAAATTGCTATGATTGTTATTATTCTTCTCTATTTCTTTTATCATTTGTCTCTCATTTACAACTGCAAATGAAGTTTTGTCAGAATTTTTCGCAGAGTTTGCAAAGTTTTTATTATAATTCCTAATTTCCCATTGATCACTACGCAAAATATTTAAATACATATATCAATGATGTCAATTTAAACTTACTTTTCATAATTCAAGCAAAGCAATTTCAAAGCATCAATATATTATACATTTCCATTTTTGTCAAATTTCTTAATGATCTCCTTTTTTATTTTGTGGGTGACATTCACATCCAAACAATCTAGCATTTAAAAGAATACACCTTGCTTTACACACCCTTACTTTGCTTTACTTTGATTATTCAATCAGGACACTTACCATCATCAATTCTAGTGAAAGCTCGTTTCAATTTCGCTTTGATCAAGTTTTGTTTCTCAACCGTTGATATTTGCTTGTCTAAAAAAGTTTAGTCCATATATTTTAATTTAAGAATAATCGATAAAATTTTTCTAAGTTAAGTTATTCTAAATTTAGAGTCCACGGGGTTTTGGGGTTTTGGGGTTTTGGGG